TGTAAGAGTTGTAAATTCTGTATAACCTACAATTCGAGCATGACCTCGAATTCGAAGAAGAAATTCCTTGTGAAAAAGAGTAATTATGGAGGGCTAACACGACATAATCTTCAATAAGTAACTTTTAGAGCCGTTCTGGTAGATCTCGAGCCTGGCACGATGGATTCGGTTCGTGCGGGACCATTCGGTCAGCTGTTTCGCCCAGATAACTTTGTCTTTGGTACGTCGCACCATTTGTATGTAAATTACCTCGTCTGTGGGCATTTTAATCACTGTCACCTAAGATTTGTTGCTTAGAAATAAGTGATACATGCCGTTCGGGGAGGAGGATAGAGATAGGGTAAGGGGTATGTGGAAGAGCGCAGTATCTCAACATAATTAGTAAAAAACACCAAGTTAGTTTTTTGTGCATAAGATAATTTCTGAGCAGTACAGTTTGTCATGAATTGTTCAAATCATCGTCGCTTTTGCCTTTTAGACTTTTCTATTTACTGCAGTTCCAGCATAATGGAAATTCCTCAATCTTTGCTCCAGAGAATATTTGCGACGCAGCCGCTTTTTTAATGCCCTGCAAATATCGTAAACTTTCTTGGCATCGTTATCATAGCGCTGCCTATGCAAGCAGATTGCCCTAAGAGATTTTAGGACAATCTGGAGCTGGCAACAACTGGGCGAAAGGTCATTACACTGAAGGTGCGGAACTGGTTGACAATGTGCTGGACGTCGTCAGAAAAGAGGCAGAAGGCTGTGATTGTCTTCAGGTTCGCTGAGAGGCGATAAGAAGTATTCAAACATGTACTGATTTAAGGGATTCCAAATGACACATTCGTTGGGAGGAGGCACAGGATCCGGAATGGGCACACTGCTTATTTCAAAAATTCGCGAAGAATATCCAGATAGGATTATGAATACATTCTCAGTAGTTCCTAGCCCGAAAGTATCCGATACGGTAAGTATTTAGCACGAAGGGTAGAGAACGTTGTTGCCGGTAGGCTTCGTCTGCGCGGGCAACTGCTATGGGATTGCCACGTATGCACGCGCGTAATTTGTGCTAGATGTCGGCGCGAGCAGAGCCTAATGGCATAACGTGTTTATCCGGGCATGGATTTAAATTCAGGCATTGTCTTATTTCAAATGTAGGTCGTAGAACCCTACAACGCCACACTATCAGTACACCAACTTGTAGAAAACACCGATGAGACGTTCTGCATAGACAATGAGGTGAAAAGTAGTTCTTTGTGATCCATGACGAAAAAGTGATAGTTTGATAGGCCCTGTATGACATCTGCTTC